AGTCAGTGTAACATTGCCTCTTCAAAAATCTCTGTTCAGACTGAAGTCACTGAAGCAGGATGTGGACGTCAAGCTAGAACAGGAGGCACTAACAACCAACCTGTTGTCATTAATCAACATCCACCACAAAATCTTCTTCTGATGGCTTCAACAATTTGTTTGTAGTCACTGCCATGTACACCCCTCAACTCAAAATACCATTCTACTATTCATTCTCACACGGAGTCCATTGTACATTCTTGAGCGTGCCTTCTGATGATCTGGGCCCTCATTTGACCTCGAAAACCTTTGCCAACTGGGCCATTGCTTTATGTGAACGTGATATGATGGATGGACCAGAGGCTTTACAGAAGGCCGCGGGGGAGACCACTACGTGAGGTCGTATGGCCCTATATACGAAGTATCTATTCATACTAAGCTCACATTACGGTTGATTGACAGTAACACTGCTCCTTTACACGTCAGTTGTGGGAATCCCGACGGAAATCCACGGGCCCCTGTTGTATACGGAAAGTTTGAGGTAGGCTATAGAAAGTTCCCTCAACCGACCTCTACACAGATCAAATCTAGTCCTTTATGCAGAGTAAACAAGTGATATTAAGCCTAAAGGTGATTCTTGAAAACATGAGTTTAGATATTGACTGTTAAACTTACTCGGCAAGTGGAAATGGGAGGGGAGATTTTGACTTCACGCACACTTATTCATGACATTGGCTGCTACCATCACCATATGGAAGTAGATACTCTCAAAGCCTCACTGGGCTTGTCTTTTCCTGTACCAGATGGAACCCCAAAGATCGCACAACCATGGAAGTACATAACCCTAAGTGTTTGCCAACATTCCTGGAGGGTATCAGTAGCCATCACTGATGGTGAAGTGTGACTGTCTGGCCTTCCATAGAAGGATTGGTAATGGTGTGGGATGTACAGGAAACTCCTGTGGAGGGTAGGGTGATTGTGCAGGGCTCCAGGCTTCCTGACAGAACAAGATAACAGAAGCCTTTATTCAGTTACCAAAACACATCTGTACAAACAAAGTTATTGATATACCTGAGAATTAACACAAAAGTAAGGCCCCAGGTGGTTATGCATTCATCATCCCCTTGACCTGAGCTATTATTGAGGACTGAAAAATTTGTGAAACTGTTGTTTTTTATACTGTTGATGGTAAGATCTACCTCTCGGACTTAGGCTGATAATTTTTAATAGGTTGAGCTGGTCTTCCAACAGATACCAATACAACACCAAGAGCAAAGCTCAAACTGTTGGTAATGCTGAGCTCACTGTGGGCGAGGCTTTCCAACAGCCATGAGAAAGTGAGATATTTGGAATAATGTCAGATAATCTATACTAACAACCAAACAGCATGACATTGACTGGTTAGAAACATTTGCTTGTATCTTACAGATTTACAACAAAGAATCCCAAATCATCTTTGTTGCTGACTGCATTCTAAAACTCACAGGACCAATGATACAATAGCATAGTCAACTGCCTCTCAAGTCACCCGTCAAGCAAGGGCAAAGGTCAAAGGTTGACGGTTGAAGGTTGAAAGTCAAGGTGGGCATTTACTGGTGTATTTACCAAGTGGTTAAGCTAAGGAAAAGGTTGTATGTACAGGATGTTCTTATACTGGAATTTGTCTAGGCCCAGAGTCATTCTGCATTGTGCTGTGTAATGCCTCTGGCTATTAGAGCACCCATATGCCGTATGCCATATGCCATATGCCATACTTCTTATTTACTATTCTTTACCTTTTTCACCTTTACTTTCTACTTTCACTGTTGCCTGTACACCGTGCCTCGCCTATCTTACAGAATAGACAGAGGTCAACACTCGCAACTCTGGTGAGAAGTATAGCGCACCTTACACGCTGAGTTGTGGGCATGTGAGTCACTCTTGGTTGTACTGAGTTGTTGTAGGAGTGGCTGTAAAAACATTGTGTGAGTTGTTGTGGCTGTCCATATAATGTGACCCAGGAATGACATGTGGAAGTGTTACTCAGCATGGTCTGGAGCTGTGGTCTAGGTGTGCAGCTCCACTTGTTCTGTGGAGTTGTGAATGGAGATCTTTGAATGGGTGGGAAGAAAGGAAGGAAGATGATAAGTCGGGTGTAGGAAGGGCATCTGTGTGGGTGCTTGTTGGTGGAGGTGGAGGTGAATCATAACAAACAACAGTCTGCATCTGCAGGGTTAAAGCTTGACTTGCTTATTGAACTTGTCATAATCTAGGCACTGTACTATCTTGAGCCTAGCTCAGACTTGAGTATACTCATGTAACCCTCTCTCTAGCTCAGGGATGGCTTAACATACTTGCGTTGGTGAAAGCTTGACACAGAAGGCTTTGGGATGATGGGGATCTGTGTCTAAGCCATAGCCAGATATGTGTACACTCATGCATCACAATTCCTATTCATTTCAGGGTGGGCTCTTGCCCACAGCTGACTGCGACAAAACAACTACCACAAGCCATTATATGTTCCTGACCCCAAGGATTCCTATTCCGGTGTCCCATGAAACAACCTTTACCAAAAGTGACTACACCTTCTTGATGCCTAGGATTTCTATTTCTGTCCTAATTGTTCACACCTCTGACTGTGACAACACAACCATCATGACGAGTATCTCTGACCCCTATAGCCCCTATCCCAGTTTCTCACATACAATCATAGTGTAACAACCGCTTTTCCAGAGGCCAAGAATCCAGCTGTGGCATACACAAAAAGGGTTGCAGGATGTGGGAAAGCCAATTGGAAACTGATCTCTTGGGTTCCTTGACTGCGTTAGCGGAAACTTGGGTCCAAGCTCAGGACCACCTGAACAAGTACATGTGAATTAAGGGTTTGGGAAGGGTATCTGCAGGCTCCCACAAGCAGATAGGATGTGAAGAGAACACCACAAGCTCCCACAAGTGATATTATAAAGAGGAAAGGGCCCTTTGGGTTATGCAGGCAGTTGCAAAAAGGTAGAAGGCACAGTCCTGTGGCCTTAGTGGATGGGTGCACCTGTTGGGATGTGGTGTGCTACTCACAGAGACGGTTAGTACGCCAAAGACTTATAGAATACTCAACCAGGAGTGCTTGATAGACATTGACTGGATAAGAGATAATACAACCGAGCTAAAGTATATGAAGGTACTAGATGTACTTTATATACTAGTTCAGTATAGAGTTCCAAGAGACTAGAAAAGATAATTTACAGAGTAGGAATATGAGTCAGAGTGAGTCGGAATGAGTCAGAGATTATTGGAGTCATCCCAGGGCCTTCAAGGTGTAGCCACCAATAGCTGTGAGTCAAGGGAACTGATCCCAAGAAGGTCCCGAAATATTGGTGAGGGTCCCAGGGTGAGTTGTGAGATCCCAGTAAAGGGCTGTGGGGTCACGAGACAACATGAGGAATGCCCAACAGGCTTGCCATATGGTGTGAATGTGATCCCAGGACCTAGATAGTGTGATCTGGGATCCCGGGGGATGTTGGGAAAGGGAAAGATGATAGAATAGGTACTGATGGGTTCCGTGTATAGCCTAAAATAGGTAGAATGGATGAGCATAGAGTATGGGAAGGTTTGGAATATAGATGGTGGAAGGGTACCAAGGGGTAGGTTTTGGGGGGAAAAGATAGGGGTCCCATGGGTGTAGAAAACAGACACATTACACATAGGTCCTCATTACACGCCTCCGGTCACTCATACATCTGATTGCAACAAAACAACTACCACTATGGGTAGGTATGTCTCCAATACCCATAACTTCTATCCCAGACACTACCACTACCTTCACTTCCAGTACCATGAACCCATACACCTCCCCGACACCTACAACCCCTATTTTTACTACTACCAATGATCATTCTACAACCACATCTGACTGTGATGATGAGACAACAGCAGTGCCTACGACTACGAGTTCCTACATCATTCTGATGCCTATCCCTACCATTATCACTAACACTACTGACCTATTTCATTCAATTTGTATATCACACGTCACAGGCCTCTCCACATACGAAAATTTTTCGTATGGTCACGTAGTCACAGGGAGGTCATACGAAATGTCCTGGTATGTGACAAAACTTGCAGTAAGCCTAAAAAGCCAAGAAATGACCCCTTTTGGGATTTCTTTGCCCAAGTCGGGTGTTTTCTGTGAATTACCGTGGACGGCAGCCTCGCCTGCCACCATTCTCCCCACTCATCCACCCCAAGCCCTCGTCGACACGAAAGTGGCGTACGAACTTTCGTTTTTGTCACAGGTCACCCGGAGGAATTTGCCTGCCATACAAATGTTCCCCAGCAAATTTTTTTGTCACACACAAAACCCCATACGAATTGATTAAAATGGGTCAGTACCACTAATGATCACTACACCTCCCTGACACCTACCACTCCTATTTCTGTTACCATCTACACTTCTACAACCCCGAACGTACCCACTACGTTTCCTTATACTTCCAATTGCGATGATTCAATGACGGCCACTACGATCACTAGCGAGTACACCTCCCCCACATTGATCACTCCACCCATCACTATAACTACTTCCATCTCTGGATACACCTCCCCAACGCCGACGACTCCCGCCACTGTCAGCACGACTACGAGCCCCTACACCTCCCCAGCCTCTCATACATCGGATTGTGACGAAACAACCTCCACGGGTCACTACACTTTGCCTACTGCAATACTACTGTGACTACAAGTCCTTGTCTTGATGACCTTGCTCTCCCGACGCAAGGTATTATCGAGCTCAATGTGCTCTGAGATCATTGAAGAACTTGAGTTGCTACCGATATCGCACGTCGTCCTGGCATTAGTTTCTATGACGAACTTTTTCTTTTCTTTTTCTTTTTTTTTGTCTCTTACTTCCGATATGTACATTTGCAGATTGCGGATCGTGACTGGACACCGCTTTGAGTTGTATCAATGGAAGCGAGTACATATGATACGAAAATTCCAGGACAAATCGTTACCCCGTCAAGTGCGCCAAAAAAGATCTATTCGACAGGTTCCCTCTAGCCGACTTGAACGACTGACCTCTTCATTATTATCAACTTCTCCGAGGGTTATACTAGTGAAGCGCTCTACCACTGAGCTAAGAGGGACATAACATTGCCTTAAACCACAATCATGATAAGCCAGGGCTTGGCGAACGAAGATGGAGCCGCTTTGAGACTCATCGAAATTCGTGGCCTTTATTTACTACCACCCTTACCAGGAAACTCTCGCGCGGATTGGCCTCTTCATCATTATGATTGTAGGGCTAGTGGAACGCTGCATCATTAATGACTGCAAGCAACCGGTCCGGCTCCGACTGTGGAGTACAGAGTCGGATTTAGTTCGGCACAGCCAACTCTCAAGGCTCAAGCGCAACAGAACGTACTATGAGAATGAGCGGACTTTTCATTTCTGCCCCGGCCAAGCCATCAGCCCCTCCCCTCATAGATTGTGCCTTGAAATGTTACGGTCAACTAAAGCCGATCGACTACCCTGCAATCTACTCGTTTGAATATCTCAGGTCAACCTACCCCCTCGTATAAAGGCTATTCAAGAGACAAAGATTCTAGGGGCTGGAGGATAGGAACTCAAAGAAGAACTGTGATCGATGTGAGGCGAGAGAATCAGGTGCGCCAGAATCCTCTATTATATTGATTGAGTTCAGCTATCGATCTTGCTGTTAGTAAAAGCTCTAAGTATGAAAAGTTCAGGTACGCAAGATTGCTTTGTGTCACACATCTAGTTTGACTATCAATTTAGCTTGGTAGCATCGCACTCCACAAATGATTTGATCAAAGGCAGCCTCACAGCCATCTCACTTCGCACACTGGCTCAGGCTTTGCTAGTACCTGACCGGTATGCACTTTTATGATTGGGACTCGACCAAAAAGCCCTGAAGAATAAGAGCTAACAAGCGGCGTCTTATGTTGTGATAAAGTCGAGTTGGAAACCTAAACATTCCTCTTCCTCGTGACTATCATGAGAGCATCGCCTACATTACGGTGTATAAATAGGTGGTGCCCCAATTGAGGACCCCGGCGGTGCAGAACTTCCGCTTCCAGTGACACCGCTATACCGAGACCCACTATACCGCTCCCGAGATGCCTGTTGACTGACCACCTCCCGCTGGGCACGCTTCATACCCACAAAATTTGCCCGCCTAGCATCTTCAGGCCCTCTTCCTTCGGATCTAAATCCAGTACCAAACGCTCCGGAGTCTCGTCGTAAAGGTTCACCTGTTTCAGCCATCGGATTGAATGGCATCACAATAGGCTCTCCATTCATCAAAACGCTGGGAGCATTCCCCTGCTTCCTTCGCTTTTTAATCACAAACCAGGCCAGTCCAACAATCAGGAACAGACCGAACACGCCGCCTACGACGCCTCCCACAATCGCTCCAATCGGCTTTCCCGATCCGTGATTACCGTGATCCTCCTGTCCTCCTGAATCGGACGGACCTTCACTGACCTGGGAGCTATCGTTCCCCACGAGAGAATAATCAACTGATAACGACTGCCCTTGTCCAGTGCCGTTCTTTATCCCGGAATAGGTGATAAGGATTTCATGCTCCTTGCTACCATCGAGTCCTGAGGCGACAGAGAAGAAACGCTGATTTGACCACGAAGAAAAGTTGTTATCTGTGCTGAGTGGGAAACGTTTGGTTTGGGGAATATCAAAGGTAACCAAGCCACCACTGTCGATATTGTAGGACCCCGTGGCGCTGTCAAGCGGGGATCCATCCGCCAAGAGAAGGTTAACACCGTACAGGGAGACGGAAGTTCCTGTCGGATCGTCAAACTCGTTGAGTACTCAAGACGATGGTCGAGAATCCGAACAACTCATTAACGAAGGGATTTGACACACCGTTGAATTTGAACGACATAGAACCCCCTACTACTCCCGTCACATTAGAATCTCCTATACTGATATCTCCGGAGAGTGTTTGCCAACTACCCGTGTTGTTATGATAAACACAGCTGGTATCTCTCGAATCCACCTTCACCACTGAGTTCGTCAGGTTCACACCATCCGGAGCCGCGTACTCGATGGAATCTAACCAGAATGTTTGCGTGTCGGGGTTATTCACGCTGATATTCATTGATATCGTATGGTTTGTCTTCGAAAGGTGGGATCCCTCGCATAGCACGAGGTTGGTGGTCATATACTTCGAGTACTTGTAAGGATTAGGTGGAATCGGTCTACCGTCGACCTGGCAAGTGTACTTGGGGAAAAGTTCGAGTTGATCCAAGGTAGAGTTCGGCGGCGGTGGGATTCTACTGTTGTCTTTTGCGCCTCTTATCTGAACATACTCGCCTTTACGGGTTCCAAAGAATACAATAAGTACTAGGCGATGGTCAAGTAGAGCCACAGACTGACCTTGAAAAGTGAAAGTAAAGCTCGCACTGTCTGAGTTTGTTCCCCTCAAAGTCTCGTTGTAAGGCCTCCCGAGAACTCCAAAATTGTCAAAACTGGTTACGTCAAAGTTCCAGGTACCGGTGTCATATGTTATTCGAGGGTCTGTGTCGTCGACCACAATTCGGCGAGGGTATTCTGATGAGAGGTCTGGCATTGGAGATTGAGAGTTATCGTGGACCGTGACCGTGAAAGAAGGTTCGTCGGGAGGGAAGGGGAGTGAAGAGGTCCACCATCGTCACCGAAATGTTGCCACCCATATACTACCCGTGTCGCGTTAGACCGATGGATAGATGCCGTTTATCGAGAGCACGCACGCAGTCACGAGGCTCCAGTGATTTTCTGTCTAGCTTCAAATGGATGGTCGGGTGATCCTAATATCATAAGTTGATGTTCTCTGGGGGGACGAACATCGCAAGGTTTACATACTCACACAAAGCCAGTCAGGATAGGGACTGATCTAAACCCCTAGCAGCGTGCGAATCCTGCTCAAACAACAACGCTGAGGTACAAGTTCTACGTCGGCCCCCCAAATATCCGTAGATGTATCCAGTGCCACAAGCCAGTTCGATAGATAGTTTGACAATCTGCTTTGCTGAGTGCTACCGTTGCAGTATGGCGACGGGTTATCCAACTTCAGGTCACACATCCTACAATTTTATTTGTTGGCCGTGGGGACAGGCTTCTGGTACAGTAGCTCATCACGCGCAAAAGTAATCTTCAAGATATTTTACGTATTCTTGAGTGGTCACTCTCTAGACCATCCAGTCACAATATCCTAATGATTCGACAGGAGCAAATGACTGATTTACATGCACGCGATCCACGGAGTACACATGTCTCGGGCTGAGATGTTCTATTTCTGTGAAACTTCATGTGACCCGAATTATCCGTCCACAGGAATTTGTGTAACAAGATTTTGTCTCTTCGCATCATCCATCAGACGGCTTGTCAAGTTGATTAGCACGAGGGCATTCTGAATTGGCTGCCAAGCCATCAACTTCTACAGCATCTGGTCTAGTCCTTCTCACAAAGGATGTCCTGGACACTCCCCTCCATGTGGGACACTTGAAGCGATATCCTTTCCGCTAAGTCTCTGCTCCGAGTGAATGAAAAGAGGGTTATCTAAGGCGTTTATGGTGTTTCATCCGACTGTGCTGCAGTAGCTTGAATTGATAATAGGCTTTTCATACATATACACGCATCACCAGTGATCGCGAGCGTGTATCGTCAGGCTGGTTACACGAGATTAGGATTTAGATTTGGACGGCAAAACACCAAGCGCCCTATTTCAAACACTGACTCATACCCTCATGAATGCCCTCATCAGGAAAACAGCATGCTGTGCTTAAACGTCTTATTCAGCAAAAATCCGCTTGTTAAGACGATTAGCGCATTTTTACTTAATCAAGCACAAATGCTTACTCAGGAGAGAGCTCTCTCCGAGAATTTCTTCAATCTGCTTAAAATCTTCAATGTTTTAGTCTGAGAATCTACATTAGCGTTGCCAACAGTCGGTTCGGTTCGGCTCCGGCTCCGGAACCGCGGTTACACCGAACCACGGTTCCACAAGCCGTTGACAGGTAGCGGTTCCGGTCCTTGAGCCGCTCCGAACCGGCTAGACTGCAGTTCAAGCACTCATATCAGGTATGTTGGTTTTTCTGCATGTATTCAGTTGAGGTTACTAATAAACCATGAGTAGTCCATTTAAGCCAAGTATTTGGCATTGTGGGTGTCTGGGAACTCATACCTACACTGTTGAACAGCCCTGCACGTGGCGACCCACCCATGGATTATTTTTCCACACCAAGCTTCAGGGCCTGTACCTCAAAGTAACTAGATTTTATAGACTTAATATACGATACAAGTAACTAAAAGTAAAATACTACAATATTATGGTGTTTTAGAGGGCTGGAAAGGATTCAGGAAACGCAAAATATGTTATATAACTGAAGGTGGCTCAAACTGGCCGAACCAGTTCCGGAACCAGTTTGAGCCGCGGTTAGAGCCGAGCCGTTGGCAACACTAATCTACATATCCCTATTCTGACGGTAGGTGCTTGAGATTGATCAATAAAACATTTGAACACATCTATTCAATAATCACAAGTAGATAATACAACATACATCTGAACATGGCAAATACACTGGTACATACTATTAGTATCTTATTGAGCTGCCACCTTTCAATATGCTGTACCTCGCACAGACATATGGTTCGCCTATAATGCAGTGATGTGTCAGGTCGGGAGGTCCGAGGAGGGCAGCCTATGCGAGACGTACCTTTAATGTGGTTGGGGCGACCGTACGGCATGATAACTAACCTGGCAATAAAACTAAGAAGTCTCCCACAAAGAGCTATATGCAAGACATACCATAGAAGCCTCATGCATTTTGACTGCTGTCACTGTTTCAGCATACCTGGCCAACGGTTCGAGAGAAAAATTCAAGGACTTGGAATGATTAGTGTGACTCTGAATGACAAAAATAGATAATAAAAAGAGCACACCAACTAGCCTATACCCATTCAACACCTCTACTGGTTCATCCCTTTGTGAGCTCTGTATGCGTGAATTGGACGAGTTGAGAGTCAAAATATGGCTGACTCAGACGAGATGTGTTGACCGTGTGGTGGGTCCCAAGCCACTCAGATGTTTCCGAAAGAACTGCACAGTCGTTCCCACGCTATCCAATAA